TCCTTGACAGTTCGCACTCCTTGACAGTTCCCACTCCTTGACAGTTCCCACTCCTTGACAGTTCCCACTCCTTGACAGTTCCCACTCCTTGACAGTTCCCACTCCTTGACAGTTCGCACTTCTCGACAGTTCCCAGCCAATGACAGTTCCCAGTCAATGACAGTTCCCAGTCAATGACAGTTCCCAGTCAATGACAGTTCCCAGTCAATGACAGTTCCCAGCCAATGACAGTTCCCAGCCAATGACAGTTCCAACTCCTTGAAAGTTCCCATTCCTTGAAAGTTCCCATTCCCTGACAGTTCCCACTCCCTGACAGTTCCCACTCCCTGACAGTTCACACTCCTTGACAGTTCCCACTCCTTCACAGCTACCAGCCCCTGACAGTTCCCACTCCTTGACAGTTCAAACACCGACACACCCACGTCCAATAAAAAAACTCTATTTTCCCTCCATTAACTTACACTTTTAACCAATCCAAGCAAACTCGAGGAAACACAAGTATATTATTTTTGAAACGCAATACGCTTAATTTTTTCGAATACTGTCTACTTATTGCTTGTTACTATTGATTTGAACATTGCAAAGGCAAAAACAAGTACCGTTTTAATTTAACATTGAAATAACTTATCGTTGTGCTACATAAAAATCGTCCAACGCGAACTCATAGATCTCGCGATTAATTACTATAATTGAAAACATTCCATCGAGTATTATAATTCCATAGACTATTCCTCGCGTTCGCTAATAGTGTCCAGAAAAATCGCAATTCCGTCCCCGTTTCGAGCCAGACATCCGTTGTTTCAGTCAACTTCGTATCTTCCATGCACACACGCTAGAACTGCTTACACGGTAAATTTGCCTAGCAAAACAGAAGCACGTCTGGTCTTTTCGTATCCGCGTAGGCCGTGGCTTCGAACGCGGATGACGAAGTCCGTTCGAACTATGGCAAGTATAAATTTTGCAGACTTTACACGATTCAGCTTACTCGACGGTGTCTTTTGGTGGGCGCTCGCTTGAAAGCTCAGCCTTAGCCTGCTGAAGTAGGCAAACACGCTTCCGGAGAAGTTGAATGAGATGCGTTCCACCGAGCTACGAAACGGCAACCACGTAGCAGCGTAATTTTAACACCTGCGGTGCGGGTAATCGTGTTAAAAGGGGTGGTCTCACGTGGTGGATCCGGTGCACGGGGATAAATAACTCGAGAAATATGTTCGAACGATCAAAGGCGTTCCGTTGCGCGAAATTTGCATCAGCGGCGGAATCACGAAAAGGGTAAAAGAATTTTAGAAAACGGGGAAAAGAATATAGGAGAATATGTGGGATCTTTATTTGAATAGCATCACCCTGCATCATCGGGATCTATCTTTGCTTCGAGGAGAATTCGTGAGCTGGATGGTTCCTCGAAGCTGGGTTAATTGACGCAATGGGCTGGTGTCACAGAGTCTATAGAAACCTTGCCCAAGGGTTCGAAGGGACACCCTTTTTGGCAGTTCACCGTGTGCAGTATGCATCACAGAAGACCTCAAACCTCCGTTTATTTTATACCATCGACAAATATAAAATATAATCAAGAGTAGTGGGATTATAGGTAAAAAGAGGTAACTATGATTGTTTATAACTATTGTCCCCAACTTTCACGGTGGGAGTTTCGCGAGGATGTAAGGCCCGTTTACACGGATGTGACATTGTTACTGGGATGCGTCCTACTCTAAATTAATAGAGCGAGACATGGTTAGGGGTGAACTAAAGAGTCCCGATGCGTGACTGTCTCTCGTGCTGAGTTAATCGTCGTGGGTCTGTCATGACTGTCTGGTAGTGATGCTTGTCTTGTCTTCTTGGGATTTTTAGAAGAACTCTCTCGTGACTGCTGTCTCGGTGGTTTTATAAGTTTCGTATGTCTACTGATCGGTTGGTGTGAAACGTAAGTGGTGGGTGTGTGTCCTCCTATTGGTTGTGAATAATATTGGGGGTGTGTGTTAGCTTCGACGTCTTTCGGTGGTGGTGGATGTTTAAACTATTTGGGTCCTTATGCCTATCGTCTTATGGGCGATTTATTGATCCTTGCTAAGGTTCACTCAAGTGGTGACTAGGTGTTAACGAGTGTACACGAATCAAGGGAGGCTGGCAATAAGGACATAAACAGTCCTCCACTTAATTTGGAACATTCGGTCCTGGGGCCGCAACAATAATTATCTTCATTCTCTTCTTGGGAAGGTATATCTTCTGTATTCTAACTGTACACAGGGAGAGACAAAACTGGAGCGATGAAAAAGAGGGCCGCAACAATAATTATCTTCATTCTATCTTGGAAAGTTATATCTTCTGTATTCTAACTGTACGCAGGGAGAGACAAAACTGGAGCGATGAAAAAGGGTATGAAATTGTAGCTCATCCTGGTCCCCTAATTCCAATCTACAGTAAACACTTCACGCGTTTCCGGAACCCCTTCAACGCATAGTTCAAAGACATATCCACTTCCCTTAAGAGATTGATTTTTGTAAATACTTTAAGACGTATCTCATTTTCAACAAAGAGTAAAAGTTCCTTTTGACTTATTAACCCGATTTTATCACAAGAAGGTAGAATATGAAACGTAAGAAGTCGGCTACGAATCTCTTCGCTGAACCGGTTGTCAACGTAATTTTCAAACTTACCGAACTTCGTTTCTCATTCAAATGTTACTGTGAAATATAAGGTGCCTGAACGACCAGAAGGAAATAAGATCGGGCCGGGTTGGATTCCGGCCGGTGATGAATGCACGGGCAGTTTTATAAAACGAATTTCCACGCATTCGTAGAACGCGATAGCGAATCAATCTCCGATCCGTCGATGGAAATATATCAGGTGTGCGTATACAACTCTGACTCTGATATCTGATTTCTGCATACGCAAAAGTGATTCGACGACGCCATTACGCGGACGCGAGCAGCAAAATTTTCGCGTTTGCTAGCTAGAATTGCAGTATAAATTATTTCTTGCATTATAAACATGTCGATTTCCGATTTCTACCTCAGGAGTCGGTCATCAAATATACCTTTCGTCAGAAATAAGACTTCAACAGAGAATATATCGTAGTTATTTTACTATTAGAACCCATAATACAATAATTACCGAGTATTTTTCACAAAGGATTGTGTTGAAAGACAATGTTATACATTGTCTCTTTAGTTTTATGGCATCTACAACGTTTGGAACCGATGTTGGAACCCGGATTTCTATATACAGTACGGGTTCTAGCAACAAAGCTATGTCGGAAAAATATAAATCGGCGAAGAGGAAAAAACTGGCATTTCGCGAATTTTGTAGGTGCTTTTATAATGTTAGTTTCTGATGGGGTGAAGATGATCATTGGCCCTTAGTGAAAGTAGGAACGAGTTAGTTGTTTTTAGACTCTGAAGTTGGTCTGCGTTTATTAGCTAGGCCCTTCTAGTCACTACGGGCCAACGAATCGTTAATGCCTAAAGTTGACTGAGCTATTTTACTATTACTATCAACTAATCCTAATGCCAAACCTTGCGGCAAATCTCCGATAGAACCTTTTATAAATTTTGCCTCGGCTATAATAGCATTCACTTTTTGTAAACTTTCATTAGTCATCCAACACCTATATATAAAATTGACAGCTCTCACGGGCCAAGCGTTTATTCTTTCTTGACTCTCAGCGGTCAGTCGCGTGTCATTCTTCTGCCATAATCACACGAAACGAGTCGAACTTTATTTTTTACCTTGGTTCCAAACATCGGACTCTAAATTGTACCTCTACAATTCTATTATATTTCTTATTTTTTCTATTCAAAATTAGAACCACTATTTCACCGAGTACCTGTACACTGTGTTCCTCAACCTTAAATCTACAACAAATTGTAATTCATTTCGCGTGCCCAAAGCTTGCCATACCTCTTGGCAGACTCGTTACCTTTCATGATATCCACTGTATGGTCAGTGAGTGGTCGCTAATGGTCACATTCTCAGAAATCATTCCCAGAGGTTGCCTGACCTCGGTGAATATTTCTGAGGGATTTACTTCCGGTTTAAACTACTCCCGTGGACAGTGTCCATCTAGGACCACTAGCAGAAAGTAATTTATTAGGCCGTGGCCTTTTCCTCGCTAGTATTTCGCTGAAATACACTCTACCCGGATGAGATTGGGCTTAGAAAAATTTCCATATCCCGCGCTGCGGCCTGACCACCGACGATCCTAGAGAAAATTCCAGCTACGAGAGAACTTATCTGCCAAGGAAAGAGAAATTCCGGCGATAAAAAGCGACGCAAGAAAACCAGAAAATGGATCCCGCTGGTATAAAGCCAGCTGCGAATACTGATAGGAAAACGAACGGAAGTAAACAAGAAGATAGGAAAAGAATAGGAAGCAAGAAGAACGGAATTCCTATAATAGGGGGCAAATGTTGCCACGGTGAAAGCAGTAGAGGAGATAGTGACAATGAAAATAGCACACAGTGTTATAAGAAAAATGGAGAATAATTTATAACAAATTCCAATATCATCTAAAATGACAATGATGGTTAACACTTTGACTGCCACGCAACTTTCATATACTATGTTCAGGAGGCCACGATAAAATTTCAATTATTATTACGACACTATAATGAATTATAAAAAAATAATTGGAAATTATTAATGTCTTACGTTAAAAATTCTCTATTTATTTACGTTGTACAAATATTCAAAAATTAGTTAAAATGAAACAAATATAAATTTGGAGAATTAGTATCACCGGACACTGGTGACCAATATGGCAGTCAACGTGTTAAATTCTTAGGGTCCTAACAATAGAACCGAATAGCAATTAGGAGCTATATGTTATTATACCAAACCTATATTTCGTTCTGCTTTCTTCTTTGCTCTTTTTATCTCGCGATTATTATTAATATTAATAAAACTTCAACTCGTGAAATATTCGAACAGCTATTTTCTTAAGATGATCATACTAGGCTACGTGCTATATACATTTCTCTAGAATGAAAACACGATTTGTACAGGTGTAAAGGATCCCTAGCCTACGTGCACTTGGCCTGCTTGGAAAGATGGTTGAATCAATCTTGTCGCTCTTATTGCGAACTATGTCGTTACCACTTCAACGTTGTCGAAACACCTCGTTATACATGGTAAGCATTTAAATTCAAAAATTTCGTATTTTAATTACGCGTGTTTCTATTTCCCTCTTCTCTACCTTTCCCGATATCTTCGTTCTTTGAATAATTATAAACTTCGATTAATTTCAAAGAAATCGAATCGTGAATTATTTTTTAATTATGTTCCCTCCGATCACGATGTCTGTTAATACCCGATAAAAGTTACTCGATTTTGCATAAAAAATAACGAATGAAATTCAACTTGTTTTCGACCTGTATAGTGATCACTTTTATGGGAACCTTCAGGCCAGAATCGTTGAGGATATGGATTAGCCATCCCACGAATCGTAGAAACATACAGTCAGATTTCCTTATCTTCACGTTACTCTCCGTCGTTACGGTGGGATCGGTAACACTTTGTCTCCTAGGTGAGTCGAGCAGCCATAACAGACAGCGAAACAAGATTACCATTTTATCTCGTTTTATCTCGGTTGTATTTCCATTAAAATTTCAATACCTAACTTGATAAAGTGATAAAATATATATATATATGACGGTGTTAATAATTAATATGAAAAATATTATACTAGGAAACATTGACATTGTCTGTGTGTTGAAATATAGGTATGCAATATTTCGTAATAGAGGGAAAGAAAATTGGAATTTCGAAACTTTGGACAAGAGGAACTATATGGTTCTTCCTAACCATCGTGGTGCTGGGTTACGTTACAATGGTCTATTTAATAGGCAAGGTAATATTTTTCACTGACATTTAATTCAATTTTGAACAACGAGAATGACACTTTTAATAGCCTTTCAAAAGCGAAATCATCAAAAACGAATTGTTTCGGGCCAGAGGAAAATAATTTCGTCGCATTTCAGCAGAAATGGTGTACACGTACGCAGCTATTGAACGCGACTATGTAGGAAATATATTTCGAATCTAGACACATTCATTCCCGAAAACTTTCATTCCATCTATCAAAATCACGCTCGAGTTGGCACCAATATACGTATCTTGACACGTAGTGTACAATGCACGTAAATTACAGTAAAAAGTTACGTGCAAAAACTTTGTTGCTTAACACGTTGACTGCCATGGTGGTCATCAATGACCGGCACTTGTCTCCTTAGTCAGACTATGGTGGTCATCAGCATCCAGCGGTGCTAATTTTTCAAATTTATATTTGTTTTACGCCAACCTATTTTTGAATATTTCAATAACCTAAATAACAAGCGAACTTTGAACAGAAGATGTTAATAATGTGCACCATTTTCTTTTCCTTTGCCATATTGTTCGATAATTCATCATTAGATAATGGAAAGTTTAGGAATACTAAGGATAATGGAAACTTTATCGTGGTAGTCAAAGTGTTAAATACTTCGTCTCTTATGGAAAAGTCAAATTAACTACTTGTCGAAAGAAATTAAAGAAATATATGGATACCGATGATAATAAAAGTAATGGATGGAAAAATTAGCGAATAAATTCTTTTCTTTATTTCACTATGTTGTTTGATAATTCATCATTATTTCCTAAGAAAAATGGAAACTTTATCGTGGCCCCCTGAGCGTACCATATAAAAATGGCGTGTCAATCAAAGTGTTAAATACTTCGTCTCTTATAGAAAAGTCAAATAAAATACTTGTCGAATGAAATTAGAGGAATATATAGATATCAATGATAATAATGAAGTGCATGGAAAAATTAGCGAATAAATTTTTTTTTTATTTTACTATGTTGTTTGAAAATTCATCATTGTTTCTAAAGAAAAATGGAAACTTTATCTTGACCCCCTGAGCGTACCATATAAGAATGGCGTGTCAGTGAAAGTGTTAAAAGATAAAATCTTATAATTTCTCCATTATCGTCTTTATTCCTGGTATCGATCTCTTCCAAACGCGGAATATCCGTGAAAATTACAGTTTCCATTTTATCTCATTTTGCTTTCGCTTATAGTGGAGATTTTCTCGAATAGACCGAGTGCACGGAATGTGTGTAGACATTAAACCGCAACTGTGTCGTAATAAAACGTATTTAACTGCTGTTCGTTACGTCCCAGGAGACAAATCGAGTACTCGCAATTAACTAGCCAACTGCTGCTGGCACGCAAAGATTAGGTCTCTAAGCAACCGGTAAATCCGATAGCAAACTCTTCGTCTATTCTCTGGCACGGGGGAACTCGGTTTCTGGATACACGGCCAAAGAAAATAATTACCGTGTCAAAAACGTGGTCGTTGGAAAGTTTGCTGCACGAAGTAGCCTTCACCGTTCTAGCAGACTAGCTGCGCGCTATTTGGGTTTATACAGCGCAATGCTAAGTAATACCGTTCGTAACAAGTTCCCTAAATGGTCCTGGCGTAATCTCGGAAACCTTCGAGTTTTTCTCGTGTCAGCAACGAACAGGCTTCTCGCGAGAAATTCGAGGCATATTCTTGCCACGAGTAATCCCTTTAATGGTCCTGTGCTTGGCTCTTTCTTCCGAGCAACGGTAAATCCATCCTGTTGCAGATCCGCGAGGTGGTCAGACGGAAACTCGAGATCTGCCACCTTTGTTCTCATCGAGACCTGACGCGGTTTCATTTAAATCAACGAATATTTCGTCCATGAACCTCGCGTTTCGAGAATAACGGAAATTCGTCTCGCCACCCTCCGGCAGGTATTTCAATATTTAAATCAGCACCGCTCGCGAACTTACGTCCTTTCAGCTTCTTCGGAACTTGATGTATTTTTACTGTCCATATTACGAAACTTTAGTCAAAGGAAATCAGTCTCCGGTATTTTCCGCCACTCTTATCTAAATACAAGCGTATACTCTGACGAAATTTCGTGCAACTTTCTACGCGATCGTAGATGATACCGGACGATATCACAGTCTCTCGTGTCGCATCCTTTTGCGTAATAATAGACTCGTAACGATATACCTCGAAGACGCGTTCGATATGGCTACGAAACGAGCAACGCTGCTTTAAGTAACGCGAACGTTGACGGTATAACTTCATTTGAAACAAGAACATGTCCTATTAACCAGTCAGCTGTGTTTCACGACTATATTCGTTGTGCTTAAAATTTAGTTACCATTTGCTATTTAAATTAGAACTTTATCGAGAACTAAAATATATTCGTAAATCTCAATATGTTTAAAATTTTTAGGGGTTAACACTTAGTTGTATACGAAAGCAACCTAGGATATAAGGTATGAAGGTATAGTTCATTAGATCTAAATTCGAATGTTTATATAAATAAGATAATATGTATATTATATATTTGGTGAAGTAAAAAGAAGTCCATTACTTTTGCATGAAATTCAATGCAAAAATAATGAACTTCTTTTTACATCTAATATAACGAAAGACGAAGTAAGTTAACAATGTTGGCCACCACCTGAATATTCCAGTATTTGTATTTATAAAAAGAAATCCATTATTTTTGCATGAAATTCAATGCAAGAATAATGGTTTTCTTTCTACTTCACCTAATATACATTATATTATATCTTATATGTAAAGAAGATAGATATAATGTTATATAAATTAGATAAGAATTGGGGATTAGGCGAACCACGTCGCATACCCTCTCACAAGTGACACTGTCTCCCTAGAAAAGCATTCAAAGACAGACATACTTTCCTTGAGGAATAAGAGACTTTAATAAAGAAAATATATATATATATTGTCAAATAACTAAAACCATGAAACAGATCGCTGGTTCTATGAAATTGGAATTGGCTCAATATCGTGAAGTAGTAGCTTTTGCACAATTTCGTTCTGATTTGGATGCTGCAACTCAACAACTACTTAACCGTGGTGTTAAATTAATAGAACTTCTTAAATAGGAGCAATATGTACCTATGGCTATTGAAGTACAAATAGCTGTTATCTATTGTGATGTTCGTGGATATCTTGATAAAATGGAACCCACAAAAATTACTGCCTTTGAAAAAGAATTCTTGGCTCACATTAGATCTTCTCAACGAGAGAAGACTATATATGTATAGTGGCACTTTGCACGTCGAACACCAATACCGCCATTCCTTTTTAATCTTTTTTTTTTATAACAGAATTTATAAAACGTTTTGGTAGTACTTGTATAAACTGATTATAAAAATTGATAAATTATTTATAATTTTTATTTGTTTGTATTTTTATTCTGGGCTCTAATTGTAAAATAACTACGATATGCAATTAAAATTGTAAAATAACTACGATATAAATATATACAATTAAAGTCGAGAATCCAATGCAAACAAATAAAGGGTATAAATAATTTATCAATTTTTATAACCAATTTATACAAGTGCGACCAAAACGTTTTATAAATTTTGTTATAAAAAAAAGATTAGAAAAGAATGGCGGTATTGGTGTTCGAGTGCAAAATACCACTACGTGTGGTATTCACCTTGCTCTGGTGAATTGACTCTCTGTTTGACAACTATACTCGTCATTGCTTGATCCTCGCGACACATATAAGTACACACTCTGAGAAGAGGGCGCCACAGCTGACTGGTTAATTCTCAGGATTCAATCTTTAATCGAATGCTTGAATAAATTTCCACTTCGAAATAAGACGAAGAAATATGTCAATCAAAACGTTACTGATAAAGATATACATAATTCACACCTGATTATTACTATTCTACGAACGAAGGTAACATCGAGCTCAGAACTATTTTTCGAAAAAGCGTTCGGGAAATCTGAATCTGGAAACACAAACGTGCGAATGAAAAATTGCTAGTCCTCGGAGTGCCGCAAGCGCGAAGGAAGAACGTCTAGATCGAGGGCCCGAGGGACTAAGATTTCGGATAGACTCCGTGTCCCTAAGAAATACTTCAAAATCTACGAATAACACGTCCAGGGTGAAGAAATAAAATAAATAAAATAAATAAAATAAAATAAAATAAAACAAAGCGTGCGAGTACATTCGAGACGAAACGGTTGATCGAGGAAAGGACAATGAGAATTCAGATTTTCAAGAGTCTCTGAGAGGTAGAGGGAGAGAGTGTCTAAGCGTGGAGAGCAGGAGCAACCGTGGAACGAAATCGTTATTGTTATCGCATTATTATCGAACACGGTTGCTACGTTCCATTCGAGATTATGCATACCGGAACGCGTGTGTGACCTGGCGTTCCAGCGCTAATACGCGGTTGTGTCACGAATGCAGCCGCCGTTTACCGCGATTCGACTATAATCTCTGCCACGAGTGTGAGCCCGTGCCATAAGCCAGAGGGTTAAAAGACTTTCCACCGCGGCAAATGTAATTATCGCGGAACGAAACGTTTCCGAAAGGCAGCGGCGTGTCGAGAAATTCGTTTCAGCCCGAGGTACGAGCTCGCTATCCCTTCGGGGACAAAACGCGGCTTTTATTCACGCCCGTTGTTTCTCCCGCGGAATTTTCGAGCTCGCGACACCGCACTATCGAGTGTTTCGTTCGAGGGGAAAAATATCGCAGCGAATTCCCCGAGAGACACCGCGCATTTCATACTAGCTCCGAGGCAGGTCTAGGTCGACGGCCTCTGAGTTTCGCCACGACTGTCTTTCGCGGTTTATGTTTATGCGACACGACTCTGCCGACCCAGATAACAAGCTGCCTCGAAGCGGATACATTAAGCCGGGACGTAGAGGTGAAACAGGTGTGCCAACGCTTGGCCGTGTGAATGGAACTCGTCAAGTGAGTCGAAATAAAGTGCCGAGACACGCTCTATCCCACGTCCGAGGAGAGCCACGCGGAAGACGCCAAGATGGCGGCGCGTTC